GTTTAAGGAACCATCTACTCCTAGAACGTAAGGGAATTTCCAAAAGCAGTTTTATGCCTTTTTTCTTTTTCGTTTTCTTCCTGTTTCTTTTTTTCCTTTCTTTTTTTTGTTTACCTTTTTTCTTTTTCTTTCATTTTTTTCCTTTGTTTCGTTTCTCTTTTATTTCATTTTCTATTTCGTTCTAATTTTTGTTTTTCAACAAATCTTCAGAAATCTAAAAAATGTTCACATTAAAAAAAATTGTATATTTTTTCTAAAATGTTCCTGTTTTGAAATTTTTCTCACTTATTCGAAAAAACTAGAATTTTGAAATAATCTCTAGTTTGCAAAAAATTATCAAAAATTCAAAAAAGTTTAGAATTTCAAATTAAAAAATGGTCGCATTTTATTTTTTGTTCACGAATTCAGAAAATGTGTCGGAATTTCAAAAGATGTTCCCACGTTCAAAATTTGTTCACAAATTCAAGAAAATTCATTTTTCAAAATTTGTTCGCAAAATCAAAAAATGTTCCAGTGATCTAAAAAATGTTCGCCTTGAAATATTTTTCACAAATTTAAAAAATATTCTGGTATTTTACTTTCCAAATGTTTTCACAAATAAAAACAATTCATGTTTTCAAAATCTGTTTACCAATTCAAAAATGGTTCAGGGAATTTCAAAAGGCATTTGCATTTTGAAAATTTTGTTCGTAATTTCAAAAAATGTTTGCATTTTTTTCTTGTTTGTCAAAAAATGTTTGCATTTTCAAAAGATTGTTCATAATTTCAAAAAATATCTGCATTATTAATTTTTGTTGTTGTTTTTCAAAAAATCGTTAGTTTTCAAAAAAAATCGTAATTTTAAAAAATCTTCTCCTTTTGAAATTTGTTCTTTTTTCAAAAAATCTTTGGGTTTCACAAAATGTTCTATGTTTTATAAAAAAATTCGGAAATTAGAAAATCTTCATGTTCCTGAAAATATTTACTTTTTCCGAAATGAAAATCAGGTTTCAAATTTCAAAATAAGTTTAATGTGTTTGCCGCTTATAGTTCATATACGCTTGGTTGCCATTTTGCACACCTAATCCCAGTAATGATGGTGCCTAGCGATGTTGTTCTGTAGCAATAGGATCTCGGTTCGATCCCTCACATAATTTTGTTTATTCGAATTTGTGCTCCCAGGTGTTTAAGTTTTGCCTCTGTTTTTTTTTAAGTTTGGCGCTGCCAATCAAACACCAAAATTTGTCTGTTGCAGTGGCTAGCTCGATGCGCAACCTGCTTCAAGGTCGTCTGTTCAAATCTCGGTGCCCGTGCGCTCCTTCTTCAGTGTTTTTTTTCACGTCACTAATGCAGTGCCACCCGTGTCACCGCAATTGGGCTCGGTCCAAGTGTGCCGCACTGTGCGAAAGGCCGACTCTTTGCCGCAACGAGCGGCATATAGGAGGTCCCCAATATGTTTAGCAAATATGCTCCCATTTCTTTCACCCGAGCAAAGGAATAAAAGGCCATGCACCAACACCCAAGGCCCAAGAGGTGGGCTCGTATGCGTGGCAGGCATGGAGAAGACATATTTAGGGTTTTAGTTTTGAATTTTATTGTATTATCTAGCCATAGCTACAATTTGCAATTACGAGACGTGTAGGACTACCGCCTTGTCAGATCCATAAGGAAATCCCATAGTGGAGGCGTTGACTGGTTTTCCCATGTCAACGGTAAGTTGCGCCTGGTCAAAGTGATGTGTTCCACATACAAGTGGTGTGCAAAAAGAATCTAACGCCACCACTAAAGGAATAGTGATGGCGTACGAAAAATGCCGATGGCACCACTATTTAGAAGATATAGCGATGTTGTGGATTGGGAATGACACGTCACGAATTTAAGTTGTGTCTAGCCATTTCTCTACTAGTGTGAACAATCCAAAGCCTAAGCTACCAGGGTCCTAAAACCTAAAGCTACCCGATCCGCACGCACGGGATCCGATGACCCCCTCCCCCTCTTGTAGAGCCGACAGGCTGACCTCTCCTGGCGGCGGCTAGGGTTCTAGTCGCCACATACTCGAAAGGAAAACACTTTGTTCTGCAAAGCACCTGGCTTCAGGGTTTGGCCACACACTTTTTTCATCTTCCCATCTCCCCCCTAGTCATGGGTGTCGGGCGTTAATGTTCTACTCCCTCCGTCCCAAAATGTAAGACGTTTTTTGACACTATCGTAATATTCAAAAACGTATTACTTTCTCCATCCCGGTGTATAAGTCATTCGCGTAGTACCATTGTGCTACCTCGTCTCATATTAATTATCACTGAAATAGCGTATTTCAATGCCATATACTCCCTTCGTTTTTATTTATTCTGCATATTAGCTTTGGTCAAAGTCAAACTTTATGAACTTTGACAAAGTTTATAGACAAAAGTATTAATATATATAATAACAAATCAATACCATTAGATTCATTATTGAATGTACTTCCACATCATATAGATTTGTTATGATAAATATTTATATTCTTTTCTATAAACTTGATCAAACTTTAGAAAGTTAGACTTTAGTCAACTCTATTATACAGAGTAAATAATAATGAAGGGAGTACATATGTTTGACCGCTCGGGCAGTTAGTACTACTCAGCCTATGCATAACCATGAACTTATAGCCTGCCTACGCTGGCGCTTGTGTCTGTACAGATGTTTTTTAAAAAAACCTGCCTATGCTAGCACAACTAAAGCATTTAATCATGCATGTGCATTTTGTCAACAACTAGCGAACGAAAACTACAGGCCATTCGTATATCTGGGCCAGGGGTCCCGTGAAATTAGAATGGATGATCGCGCGAAAAATGGAAGATCCCGCGGAAAATTACTGTAGAAATGGAAGATCGCGCGGGAAGTCTTTTGGCGGCAGGCAAGCAGTGCGCGTCACACGCCTACTATTACGCACGCAATGTAAAAGGGTTCTTACAATTCTTTCGTGTAAACACAGATTCTCTTGCGAAATTTTCTGACTAATTTTTTTCTTGCATGCCTTGTTGCTCTGTATGTGTGAGAGAGAGACAGAGAGAGCCCCAATAGACGCAACCTGCATGCAAGGTGAATGACGCGAATAAATGCAAGCAGCATGCTTTGCTGCCAGCCCTTGGATGAAGGGCACCGGATGATAACTCATCATGGAATTAACCCGGGATTGATGCCTGCTCACAAATTGTCAGACCCAACCCCCCATGAGGAAAATAGTGGAAATTGGCTCTCAATTCACATCCCTCTTTTGATGTAATTTTCCAACCCCTCTAACCAATCAGTGGACTTCTAATCTCCTCACCCCTCAATTCCCATTCCCCATCTCTAATTCTCAGGAACCAAACATGTCCTGGTTATGTGAGTTAGAATTTTTTTTGTTGGAGGTAGGCAGTGGCGGAGCCAGGATTTGCCGACGCCCCAGGAGAGAAACCAAAGGCTAAAAACTACCCAAAAAAAACTCCAGTTTGAAGGCATACTATAGATGTCCTGTTCCAAAAAGAATTCAATGTCCTGTAACATTATATAGAAACAATTTACTAAATGTCTAATTTAGTTTCCAAATCTAATAAGAATCTAACAAACAGTGGCATCAAGCAACAACGGTGTCATCTAGCAACCGACAAAATTCATCATCAAACAGTAGCATCTGCAAACAAAAATTGGGGTTTGGAAATTGGATAAGCTACGATACCTTTGCTCTTTCCGGCTTGCTGTAGTCTGCTGAGGAAAGAGGCGCCTCCTGAGAAGGGCCACCTCGCCGGCAGTTCGCCGGGTTTGCTGCCTCGCCGGACAGGGCAGCAGCCCACAACGGAGGTGATTGAAGAGGATTGAAGGGAGGC